TTCATATGTTGCTACAACAAAACTAGCCGACACAACTTTTTCTGGATCCTTTACTATAAGTAAACAAATATTGAATGATTATTGATATAATATTTTTAGGTTTCACTTTTAACTTTGGACCATTGCATCTTGTGAATGGAGTGGTTGTATTTAGTGCCATATAACTGATAAATAAAGACTATAATATAGTAAGTATGAACATTCATAAAATTTCGGTTTTTATTTGTAGCGAAGGTTTTTTTAATATAAGTGCTGATTACAAATTTGAAGATCCATATTGGTAAAGGGTAAAGTGTTTGAATGGTCGTTTTTTGTAATCCATCAATAAAAAATCTTAGCCAATCAGCACAACTTTATGAAAAAAAAAAGATGTTTGGATCTCCATTTCTTATCAATTGTGCTTTTGATCGGCTAAACGGTTTTTCGATAATTAAAAATTTCTCTATGACATATGTATTAAACTATTGCAGCTCTACATTGTCCATTGGCATATTAAATACAATTGATTCAGAAACCTATATTTTTACTAACTAAAATTTGCTTCCCAACCTATTCCGGCCAATCGACTAAGACGCTTGAGAATACCCTAACTCTACTACATACTGCAATAGCGAGTAAGTTTTATAACAAAATTTTTACAGTAAATAGACAGAAATCGCAACTGTTAATTTCAATACAAACTAACTCAACTACATACTGTGTGTCGCCACAATAGTGAGTAAGTTTTGTAACAAATTTTTATAGTCGATAGAAATCATGACTATTAATTTAACTAATTTACATACTATATCACATCATAAGTTTTATAACATATTAGTAAATCATAATAGAAATAACGGCTATTAAGTTTTGTACTAAAATCTGTTATTTCTAATACAAACTCACTAAACCATGTACTGTATGTGTTGTCACAGCTAGTCAGTTCTGTAACAGATTCTTAAGTAATTTTTTTTTTTAATATTTGCTCCAATTTGTGTAATATGTTTATTATACAGTAAAAGTCTAATTTATATTCAAAGCTTTTTTGATGTTTCTTGCTAAGATTTATTGGTTGATAAGAGCTATTCTTCTATAAATTTTCATACAAATTAAACACACCAAACATGCTGAATATGTATTCGGTCTAAAATTTAATTAATATTGAGTATGTTAACATTCTAACGATCTGTAAACCATGAAAACAACTGTAATCCAGATTTATTTTTTGATCATATTTATGTTCGGAATGTAGTATGCTTAGGTTCTAACTCTAAACCAATTATCGTTAGTCAATTACTAACCTATTGGCATAATTTGTGATGTCAATATCAAAAATTATAAAACACTGTACGTAGCTCTTTTTATTTTATATGCATTGTTTTCTTTTTTTTTTAGCCAATCAAACGATCTTTCTCGTGTTAAGGCTATAACGTAACTCTAGTAATTATGCCGATTACCAAATCGGAAGAATATTAAGCACAGATTTTATTTACTTTATATTTGATATTTAGATATACTTATATAACTAAAATTTCGTGCTGTTTAGAAGTCAGATGACTTCTAAACAAAAGTTTCCAGCATTATATGAGTATACTTAAATATCGAATATAAAGTAAATTAAATTCGGTGATCGGCATAAGTCATAAGGTAATTATGTCATTTTTGTGAAATACTGTGAGATTCTACCTAATCTAGAAATTTGTGTTCCACAATCCTATGATAAAAAAAAATTCGACAAAAAAAACAATGTACAATCTCTCCAGCTACGTCACCCAAATGAATTGAGTTTTTCATCTTATAACCAGCTACATTGATATAGATTACACTATGGTGCTATGGTAACGAGTTATAGAATACGTACCTGTCCGGTCTTTGACCACGAATGGAAATAACGACAAGTTAAGAACAGAATACAATATGAAGGTATGTATTCATGTTTATTATCACGTAGTTTCTCAACCATGGAATTTAATTCAACTTCTACTAGTGACTGGTGTATCATGTAAGTGCTATTTCAGAAAGGTCAAAAGGGCATGTGATGGCACTAAATACTAGTGTTTTATGCAAACTTAAGCAAATCGATCATGCTATGTATTACGTTATACTAACCGTGATAACCATAACCTGGAACCACTAATCCTGAAATCCACCGTGACAATTCAAATGGAAAAGATCATTTTGTATAATATTGATAGAATAGTGAAGCAAGGCTGAAATGTTTGATTATACATAGATTAAATTGCTGGATATTGTACATAATCTCATAAGATTCTTTCTATAATTGTTCACCAATATCATGCCATTCAATATTCTACTTTTAATACCAACCATCTTAATTGGGAACTATATACTGTAATTGGCGAAATTGATGGCCTATTAGCATATTTGTTTGCGGAATTATTAGCTAATTCACAAGAAAAAACTCCAACACTATTAAAACTTTTAATTAATTTTTTTAAATATTTTAAAAATCAATTAAATTAATCCAAAATGGGCTTTTACGAATAAAAACTCGCCACAAATTAATAGTCTTCAGCAGCAAGTTCCATTTCAGCTAGGTTTTGATAGTACTTGAATGTTTTACGCTTGTTCTTTTCTGTGTCAATCCCGGTTTGATGACAATGTTCAATAACGAAATGTTTCATATTCATTTTTTTCTACACTGCTTTCATTTTTCATGACAGTTTCCAAAGTCACATGCTTCTGGTACATTAATTTCTTTCGCAGACCTTTGATAAAGAATTAATATTTTATGATCACTCTTTTCGACGTGAAATTCATCAACTTTTGACCTACTCGATTCATCTATTTTACTATTAATAATACCCATACATATTAGCAGATTCTTGATAGTCATTAGACTATTTCTTTCAACGTAGGATCTATCAGGTTCAAGCTTGTCTTTAGAATTTACATCTTTAATATTCGATTTTCTTCTATTTAGTATACTAATGATCCTATTTTTCTTTCCTTCATTATTGACACCGTTATTCTTTATCAAATCACCTTTAATACACCTTATATTAACATTATCATTCTCTTCTCATTTATTATACATGACCTTCTATTATAGTTCCCTTTTATCATTACATGATCTTTATTCATAACATTTTCATCAACTGTAGGTTCTTCCAAAATCACAAACGTCGATTCATCAAGACCAGACCAGATCGTACAACATTTTTCATCCTATTTGAAATTACAAAGTGCTTTCACCAAGCGTTACATCAGAAGCCAATTTACGTTTTATATAAAACACTTGAGCAGCATCAACACTATCTACAGCAACCTCAACGTCAGCTTATCTCCTATACAATCGTTAATTGTTTCTTTTTAAACATTTCCAGTGTGTTTTCTTTCAATCGCATACTTCATATCCATTTGGTTTAAATACTAACTAGCTCTAATCGATGCTTTTGCCAGTTTTTTATTAATATTTACCAATTTGAAATTCCCTTTTTTCACCAATGACGTAACTCCATCCACTTGTTACTCAAACGTCGATCATGAACTTGATCTTTCTGGGATGAACACAAATGAGCCAAGTTGCCTTACAACAACGCACATAACATAAACGTGGCTTACGTTTTTGTCGTTTCCCTTGAAGAACTATTCTCAAATTATTTATACCTTTCTCAACCACCATTTTCACATGCCACCAAATAATTTCTATCCTCCATCTTCAACTTTTTTGTCAAGCGACACTAATTGTTACCAAAGCACCTTGATCACAACGAAGCCCAGCAAGTACAACTCTTTGGACTTCCACAAAGTTAAAATTCAAAGTTTTCAGTGAGTAAAGCTATTCCTTACCTAGATCCTTGTATGTCACATAGTTTCTCA